AATTTCTTTTTGTTTTTGACTTTGTTTCTGCTTTCTTCAGCCATTTTAGATGAAATCAATCTCTTCTTGCTGAGCTCATCAGAGCACCCTTTCCCTGTCCCCTAAAACTGGGGATTGAACCCAAGGGTGATCTCTGCTAAACACAAACACAGTCCTTTTAATTTAATTTTATTGGTACTGAAGACTGGACCAGGGGCATTTCACCATTTGAGATACTCTCCAACCCTTTTTATATTTTTGTTTTGAGATAGGGCCTCATTAAGTTGCTTAGGGTCTCACTAAATTGCTGAGGGCTGGCTTCAAACATGCAATCCTCCTGCCTCAGCCTCAGGAGAGGCTAGGATCACAAGTGTGGGCCACCCCACCAGACTCAACAGATTACTATTCTACTTTACGGAGTGAAGTGATGCCAGATTCTAGAATGAAAAAATAAGCCAACTCAAATCAATCCTGGTAGCCAGGCATGGTGATGAACATTTATAATTCCAGAAATTTGGGAGGCTGAGGCAGGAGGATCCAAAGTTAGAGGCCAGCCTCAACAATTAGCAAAGCTTCAAGCAACTTATTGAAACCCTGGGGAGGTAGCTTGGTGATAGAGCCACCCTAGGTTCAATTCCCACTACTCCCCGGCAAAAAAAGGAAAGAAAGAAATTACCATTGTGTTGAGGCAGAGCCCTCATAGATGGGTTGATAATATAAGGCTAATTATAATTTTCACTGCCTTTATTTGAAGACCAAACTTAAAAGGTTCCCAAGGGTGGGATTCCTTTTATTAATCCAACCCTAATGAGCTAAACTTGGGCAGAATAAACCCAGTATTCAGTTCCAGTTCCTTCATCCAGCTTGGGTAGTAAGAAAGCTGCATTTCTCCTGGCAGTTAACTTTGTACAGTGGAAAGATATGTCCAAACACCTCTGATTTCCAGGTAAGTCTACTAACCCAAGGCGACTTCTAGAGAGTTTTGCTATTGACTGCCATTGGGAAGATGAGAGAAGAGTGTGTGTGTTGTTTTTTAGTATTTCACATTGAAAAGAGCAAATGTGGGCATTTAACATCCTCAGCTCCTTCGTGCACCTTTGAAGTAGTTATTGTAGGAAGGGGTCCCCCTCCCCCCTGGTCTTTTCTTTTTCAATAATGGGGATTGAACCCAGGGTACTCTACTACTGACTTGCATCCCAGTCCCACTTTTTTTTAAAAAAGTTTTTTATTTTGAGACAGGTTCTAGCTAGGTTTCTGAGGTCGGCTTCAAACTTATTATCCTTCTCCTAAACTTCCTAGATGCTGGGGTGATAGACATGTGCCACTGGTGTACCTGGCTTCTTGAAAAGATATGCAAATCGTCTGTTACTCATGCAGAATAATGGACCATACCAAATAAATAGGAGGAATGCTTATTGAGGAATGCTTATTTCTTTCCTCCCAGTTTTTTCTTTTCTTTTAAACTTTTTTCTGTTTTTGGCCTGAGAAAACAGACTTATAAAATAAATGCTGCTGCTTCTTTTCAATACTGCTAAGATATTATAGGTTAATAACTGTGTAGGTTAATAAAATTTGGGTTTAAGATGATTCACCTTTAAGAATGCACTAGGATATGTATAATATGTACATTCTACTAGCCGGCCTGGTGGCATACACCTGTAATCCCAGTGGCTTGGGAGGCTGAGACAGGAGAATCTTGAGTTCAAAGTTAGCCTCAGCAATGGCGAGGTGTTAAGCAACTCAGTGAGACCCTGTCTCTAAATAAAATACAAAATAGGGCTGGGGATGTGGCTCAGTGGCTAAGTGCCCTAGGGTTCAATCCTCAGTACAAAAAAAAAAAAAAAAAAAGAACAATGACATACTGTGGTACTATGGTCACAAATATTACCACATCAGGCATCACCAGTCCTTTATCTACCATTTATTCTTCTCATTACACCTTTTGGTTTTTTAAATATTTTTTAAGTGCTTATAGGGAGAAAGGAGCATGAGCACACTAGGACAGATTTTTTTTTTTTTTTTTTTTTTTAGCATCTCGCCATTGCTGAGGCTATCTTTGAACTAGAGATTTTCCTGGCTTAGCCTCCCTAGCCACTGAGATTACAGGCATGCACCACTACGCCTGGCCAGATCTCCTTTCTTTTCATTTTTTCCTTTTTTTTTTAAGGTACTGGTGATTGAACTAGGACTTCACACACACTAGAAAAATACTCTACCATTTAGTTACATCTCCAGCCTTTTTTATTTTTACTTTGAGTCAGGGTCTTGTTAAATTGCCCCCACTGGCCTTGAACTTGCCATTCTCCTGCTTCCACCTCACAAGACTCTGCAATTAAAGATGTGTGTCAAGGTGCCCAGCTAGCCTTCATTCCATTATTTTCTTTTCTGAATCTTGGCATCTTAAGTCACTAGCCTTTCTCTTATCTGTCCAGAGGAGCTTCACAGAAAACAAAGAGAAAGATCTTCCCTTATTTGTTCAACTGTCAGCCAGCCCTTCAACTCTTGCTCAAAGCTCTCCACACCCTGCATTCTATCTTGTGCTGGTGGAGGCCATAAACAATGAGATGAAGTCAGCATGAACAGAGGTGTGTTTTCAGCTTTCCGTTACTATAATAAACAATTGAAATATCTGGGCATAGTAGTGGTGCAGAGCTGTAATCCCAGCTACTTCAAAGGTTGAAGCAGGAGGACTCCAAGGTTAAGACCAGCCTCAGCAATTTAGGGAGATCCTGTCTTAAAATAAATAAATAAAAAGGGCTAGGTATATAGCTTAATGGTACAGCATGGCTGGGTTCAGTCCCCAATATAAAAAACAAAAACAAAACCTCTCAGTAATTTACTGAGTACCTTCCAAGCACCAGGGAACCTATTTGGTGCTTTGTTATAATATTATCTTATTTATTCTTTGAATTTCATGAACTTAAACTCAGAGAGGCCAAATAATTGGCCCATGGTTAATGGAGGGATGATGTTTATAATTGAATGCTAATTATATGCTCAGCACTTTGCTTAGTCCTTCATATTGTGGTTTCATTTCAGCCTCACCACAAGTCTTTGAGGTGGATATATTTTTTTTCCCTTTTACAAATAAGCCAACTAAGACTCACAGATATCAAGGGGCTTGCCCTTTATATTTTTATTTTGAGACAGGATCTTACTAAATTGCCCATACTAGTCTTAAAATTGGGATCCTCCTATTTCATGCTCCCAAATTGCTGAAATCCCAAGCCAGTTCTAGGCTCCACCAGAATCAATTATTATTATTATCTTTGGTACTGAGAATTTAACCCAGGGGCACTTTACCACTGAACTATATCTTCAGTCCTTTTTTAATTTATTTTGATTTTGAGGGTCTTGCTAAATTGCTGAGGGCCTCCCTAAATTGTTGAGGCTAGTCTCAAACTTCCTTCCTTAATCTCCTAAATTATTGGATTATAAGGCCTTGGCCACTGCACCTGCGTTACCACTGACTGCATCCCCAGTCCTTTTAATTTTTTTTATTTTGAGACAGGCTGTTGCTAAGTTGCTTATGGCCTTTGCTAAATAGCTCAGGTTGGCTTCAAACTTGGGATCCTTCTGCCTCAGGCTCCAGAGTCACTACAACTACAGCAACTTTTGTCACCACCTCTGGCAGCAAAAATGTGTTAGCAAGGCCTCCAGGTGATTCTGATGCATGCTCTCATCTGACAACGCTGCACAGAATTACCTGCCACATGTTATACAACGTATAGCAGAAAGAAAAGGGAAAATTTAAGCAACACTTTCTCCCCCAGAAGCCCTTCTTCCTCTTTGATGCAGTGAAGGGCTGAAGGCGCTCAGTATATGGTCTAGAACACACTGAGATATATTAGGAGTTTAGTCAATGGTACAAATGCTGGTGTAAAGGTTGGTGTCCTGGGTATGGGGTTTGGCCAATTCTGTGCATTGGAAGAGGAGAAGGACTGTGTGGTAGGATACAAGGCAAGCTCTACCCCTTGTCCCACCGCAGAAACAGAGCCTCCAGGAATTTAGAGAAGGTTCTTCTTCACAGTGTAATTACCGGGTCCCTCACACTCTCTTGAGTTACAGGTACTGGCTCTCAGAACTCTGCAGTGGATTCCCAAAGGGCAGGAGGCCTGCGGAAGGAAGAGCAAGGAAGGGTCTAGGTGGAATGCAAAGACATATGGAAGCCATCTCTGCGCCCTTGCTGTAGATTTTTTTTTTTTTAAACTTTATTCTGCAGTGGGAAAATAAAGTATTGATTTTTTACCTAAGCAATATTTTCAACAACTGCATGGAAAATAGAATGGCGCGAAAGATGGAGAGTTAAGGGATTATGGTACTAGTTAGGATGGGAAATTGGAGGGCTGTGGGTAAGCTAAGAACAGAATGAAGAAAATATGGATGGGGATGTGCGGAGAGCTGCGCACAGAGACAGCTTCCATTTGAGTTGTGGGTTGGGGCCAACATCTTAGATACGGAAATCCTTGGAATCAGTAGCCATTGCTCTAAGTTCCTGAGCACAAGTAAGTGACGTCCCCCTTCTTCTTCTTTCCCAAGGCGCTCGGGCTTTGGAATATGACAAGGGTTCGAAATTACTTCTGGAACATAACTGCTATGCGCAGTGATTCGATCACTTGTTCATAGCTATGCCCCAAGCGCCCAGAAAAGTGTCTGGCACATAATAGGCGCTCACCAAAACACTGTTGAATTATGAATAAAAGAATGAACTGCATCACGCCAAGACTCCTCTTCTCATCTGTACCTGAAAGGTCGTTGAATAATGAAATCACATAGCTTCAAACTTGATAAACAGTATACGCTCAACAAGTTGTTATTTTTCCTTTTCCTTCACAATAGATCCTGGGCAATACAAAAAAAGGGGGTTTCTTTCTCTTGCGTCGTTTCCACCTTCTTTCGCCCCCGCAGCCCCCACTGGGTCTTGGGGAGCACGTGAGCCTGGGGAGGCGGGGTGGGGAACAGAGGGGGTGCCGGCCGGTGGCTAGAACTGAGCCGGTCTCCCCGGCTTACGTAAGAAGCGATCCCGCGCGGCCGGCCTGGGCTCGGAGACTGAGCAGGCGGAGGCGGCGCCGCCCATCGGGATCCGGGCTGGGTGTCTCTGGTGGCGCTACTTTCAGCAGAGGTGTGTTTATTTGCTTTTGGCCGAGAGGCGCGGGGCTCCGGCTCTGCGCCTGGCCCTTGGCTGGGGAGCGCATCTGCCAACCCCGGGCGGAGGTGGGCCCCTCCAATTGCGCGCGGGCGGCGGGCAGCGGCGGCGGCCACAGTGACTACAGAGAATGTGACAGCCGCCCGGGAGGGGCAGAGGTGCGGATACAGGCTGCCCACGTGCAGGAATCGCGCAGGGGCTCAGTCCCAGGATGCCCGGAGCGTCGGGGCGGCGGGGGCGCGCTTTGAGTCACCCGCTTATCTCGGTTTCCCTAGCTAGTCCGAGACTGGTTTGGGGATGCCCGGCCACACGACTCCCTCCTTGGACAAGGCGTGGGAGTGAGACAGCGGAAGAGATCGAGATTGGAACTGGCGGGGCCGACCTCCGCGCCCCCGAGGGCTGATTACGCTGGGCGGGGGCACTGGAGTTCTCCATAACTGCTGCCTGGGGGCGAGGAGGTGGCGGAGGGCGGGGCTGAGGGGAGGGGTTGTCTTAAAAGTCTCTCCTTTCCCCAGTAGGGGCGGCAGGAGAGTCCCCGCGTGAGCAGAGGGTGCCTGAGGCAGGGGCCAAGAAACAAAGTTCCCGGGGCTGCCTCCGGGGCCGCTGTCTGGGCTGCCTGTTGGGCCGCTCGCCGCCTCGCGAAGGCCATGGCTTCCAAACTCCTGCGCGCGGTCATCCTAGGGCCGCCTGGCTCGGGCAAGGGCACCGTGTGCCAGAGGATCGCCCAGAACTTTGGCCTCCAGCATCTCTCCAGTGGCCACTTCTTGCGGGAGAACCTCAAAGCCAACACGGGTGAGGGGCTGTGGGGGGAGGGGTGGGGGTGAGCCGAGCGGGATCGGATTAGGCGGGGGAGAGACACAGCCCGAGAGGGGCCGGGTCTTCTCGGTCCCCGGCGCCCTTCCCCCGCCCGCGTGTGGCGGTGCAGGCTCCTACGTGCAGGAGAGCATGCAGCGGCTGCCCACTGCCGCGCGGCTTAACCGCGCCCGGGGAGGAGGCACCGGCTCTGGGGAGGGTAGTAGGAGGGACCCGCAGCTCCTCCTGCCTGGGTGGAAAAGCCCGTGACTACCGGGCTCAGGGAGCCAGAGCCAGGCAGCAGAAAATCTTGAGCTGCCCTTTCACGCTGCCTACTTGGGCGAAGCGGTCCCTCAGCCCCTGGGTCCCCTCGGGCCCATCCCCCAGGTCCCTAGTGAGCCGCGCGTCTCCTTCCCCAGCCGGAGCTCCCGGGGCCCAGCGCCGCCCACCTGTGGGAGTCCTGCCCCGCTGCGCGCTGGGGAGCCCAAGGCTCCGCTGGGCTTTCTACCGAGCGCCGCTTCAGCCCCTCGGCGTCGTCTTGGGCCTCGGGGCAGAGCGCTTGGTGGCTTTGAAAGGCCTATCTGTTCGCTCCCCTTAAGCTGAACTCTCCCCCACCAACTCCCTACCCCCCACCCGCCAAGCCGAGGCCTGGCCGCCAGGAGACTAGGGAGACTCGTTTTGTTAAATTACATTTTGAATCCAGCCTTCTTGGAAATGGCTTCTTGATTGCCTCCCTCGGCTGGCTTGGTGAAGCTGGGGATATAGATCACCTATCTCCTACGGTAGTCTGACAGTGGTCAGCTCATCCCTTTTGCCTTCTCCCACTCCACGTTCATACCAGTTCCAAACAAATTGGCATTAAAAGGCGAGAGGTAGTGCTGGAGGTGCTGCCAGGTACACAACCCTTCTGGGATGCATGGTGCTCATAATTAGCAACTCTACTGGAAACGTGTTATTGCAGACGGGTCCTTGACTCTAGCCCGCAGTTCTCATCTTGTCCTAGGTGGTTATTGTCCATTACTGGCTAATTATCCAGGGATCTGCATTTCAGAAGCAGAGATTAGTGTGAAGAGGAGGGTGGAGGACAGTGCTGGGAAACAGGAGCAACGCTTAAAAGCAAGGAATTGAGAACATCTGCAAAGCAGTTTATTCATTACCTCTTAAGCAGGTTGTAAAAGCAAGCTTTTATTCCCAAGAACACTCTTCTCGCCCCCACGTTTCAGATGGAAACATTATGTTTACCAGATTACACTTTGAATTTTCTCCTGTGGATATTGTTGCCTCAAGCGGGCCTATTTTAATTTTAATACCACATTCAAATGTTTCTTATACTTTCTGTATTTGGAATGCAGTTTGGGGGGAGGGGAGTTAGAGGGTTTTTTGAGAGGCTTCTCCTTGGTGGGGAGGAGAGTGAGGGACCACAGGGTGACCCGGAGCCCATCCACAACACCCTCTAAACCTGAATTGGTGACTTATTTCCTTCTGGCATGAAGGTCCTCTCACTGTACCTCCTGGGGCTGGGCTCCTAGCCTTTCTTTTAAAAAGAGCATTTGATGGGAAATGGCTTCTTTCTGCAGGGTTTTGAAAACTTTCCACTTACTATTCACCCTTCCCTCCCTTTGTTTTATACCATTTTAACTTTCCTCTCCTGAATTTTATTCTTTCAGGTATCTTCATTCTTCCACCCCCATCCTGTCTTCCCTTGGAGTAAGAAGTGACTTTGAAAAGTTGAAATTTTCTTTTTCTGGGTACCAAGTTTTTTTTTTTTTTGCATGAAACAATTAAAAAATTATCAGGAAAGAAGAGGCCAGCAATTTGTTATGGACTTGGGGCCTGTGACCTGAGATTATTTTTCACACTCAGAAGGTTTAAGTGAGGCTGGGTATAGTGGCATATACCTATAGTTGCAGCGCTTGAGGCTGAGGTGGGTGGATGGCCAAGAATCCTAGAGACCCACTACCTGGTAAATAAAAAAGCATTCTGTGGGTATTTATTTTTATATCTGTTACCTGCTGTTTGCTTTTTAGCTAATTTCCTGATAGAGAAGCACAACAACAGTGTATACGTATGCTTTTGTAGTTGAAGGTTTGAAGGAGATGATGAAACACAACAAAACCCCAGGAAATAGAACCTTTGTTGGAATTTGAATTGGAAAGTAGCTCAGGCCATCTGCTGTAGCCTGGATTCAGGCACACTCCAGGCTGCATGGCTTTCTCCTTCAGCCACTCCCTGATGAAAGGCTGCTCTTCAGGAAAGGGCCACTCTGACATTGCTTCTGGGAAGTAAGCCTTCCCTTACCTGCCCTGGCAGAATCCGCTTTTCCTCTTGTACATGCATAACCTGTTGTTTTTGTTGCTGCTGTTGCATATAGTTATAGCAACATAATAAATGCCTAATTCATCCAGTAGATATTTACTTAGTGCCTGGAATGTGTCAGTGTTCAAGGTGCTGGGGGCAATAGATATCATTGTTTTCTTTTGCAATGCTGGCAATCTAACCCAAGACCTTTTGCATGCTAGGCAAGCTCTCTACTACTGAGCATACTTCCAGCCCAAGTATCAAGATAATCTTGTTGTGCTCCTTGTTGCCCTTTCTACCTATACCAGATTCCAGTTCCCACTCTGAAACTGGAGTCTGGCAGATTACCCAATGTACTACAAAGGGTTCAGTAAGTCTGTGTTGAAGGCATGGGACACTAACTCTGTCTTCTTCCCCAGAAGTCAAATAGCAAGAGTCTATTCCGTTTAATTATCTCTGATCTATGGGAAAAGTTTGTATTTGAATGGATCCGAGATTAGCTTCCTGATAACTGTCCCTTCCAAGGCTGCCCGGAGCAGTACAGGCTGAGGCTTATCAAATACCTTTTTTGGAGGCCCACCCCCAATCTTTGGCTTGTTTGAATTTTCTTTAGCACACTGAGTAAATAGAAAGGAGAGTTACCTTAGATTGCCAGGGACTGGATCTTACTCTATCACAAAGAATGTTACTTTTTTCTTTCCTTGTGTGTTTGTGTGTGCATTCAGGTAGGTGTAATGAGTACATGGACACACAGGGCTGGAACTCTATAAAATGACTACCATTAAAAATTCTAACATTTAATATAACTTCTTTTGCTGGGTCATATCTGAAGGATATGAAAATCCTTTTTCAAGTATTGGACAAATAGTGGTATTAAAAAAAGTCCCATTGTTCTATACTTGATCTGCTATCTCAAGTGCAGGGAAGCTGGCAGGTTTCCATTTGGGAGCATGTTGGACTTGATTGAGAGAAAGGATATTCAAACCTGTTTCTGCTCTTAATTAATATTAACTGCAGCTTTTACTGGAGTTTTGCAGATGGGACTAGCGTGTCCAATTAGACTATGGGCTGAGTCTCTCTGAAAAGATGACCTCGTTCAAAGGGCTTAGGGTTTTTGGGTACTCATTAAGTGTAAATGTGTGTTATGTAAGAGTGAAAATTTCTGAGGATTGGAGAATAGAAAGGTTGTATTAGACTTGAGTCAGAATTCAACAGTGCATCTAAATTAACTTGAAATGATTAACCTTTTTGCAGATCCTACAGGGTCTTGGCTCATTACAGGATCTCTGGAGCACACTATCTATATTCCATTTTTCCTTCTAGTTTGGGAAGATCTGAACAAAGCCCAGGTCCAGCAAAGATCTGACCAGTTTTAAAGCATCTCTCTAGTCCACAGGCTCACTCTACTTCAGTTTTTTATTTTTAGTTTCTTTGAGGATTTTCACAAGAATTTGGAGAGCACTATTTCTGACTTCAATAGTAAGCTTGCCTTAGCCTCTTGCACATCTGAATCTTTGTGTTCTTCCAGAATTATCATTTTGTTTAAAGCAGCCTTTTCTTTCTTGCTCTCTTTTTAAGTTTTGTTTTCTTTGGTAACGGACATTGAACCCAAGTGCACTTAACCACTGAGCCATATCCCAGCCCTTTTTTTATTTTGAGATAGGGTCTCACTATGTTGCTTTGGTTGCTCAGTTGCTGAGGCTGGCTTCAAATTTGTGATCCTCCTGCCTCAACCTCCCAAGTCACTGGGATTACAGGCTTGCTCCACTCAGTTAGGCTTTAGTTTTCTTGTGGTATAGTATTGGGGATTGAGGCCTAGGATTATTTTACCTCTGAACCACCCACCCCACCAACACACCTCAGCCCTTTTTATTTTTGGAGACAGGGTCTGACTAAATTGTATAGGCTGGCTTTGAAATTGGCGATTCTCTTGCCTCATCCTCCCAAGTCCAAAGACATTTTTTTATATCTATGTAATATTTCTTTCATTCAGCAGATATTACCTATTTACATATCCCATTGTTCCTAAGAGGTGAGAATCCATAAGGGGGTTGAGCAAGTAGAAGATAGGTACCTGTTGAATAAATAGAGTAGTATGAGAGGTGAGGTGTGTGTTATGAAGGAAATGGAATGGTAATAACTAGGGTTAGGGTGGCTGTCTTGGGTTGTGTGATTGGGGAAGGCCTCTCCAGGGGATGAATATCTCCCTTCATACCATACCATGGGATGATCTAGGAGCAGAACGTTCCAGAGAAAAAGAACAACAAGTGCAAAAGTCCTTAGGTGAGAACATGCAGAGTTTGTTTGAGAAAGAGAGAAAGAAGTCTTATGAGCAGAAGGGATACAGAAGTGAGTCAGATCAGAGACTTGAGCAAGTGTGAGATCAGGGAGAGCCTTAAGGATTCTGGTGAAGACTGAATTTTATTCTAAAGGCAGTGAAAAGCCATTGAAAGGTTTAAAGTCAGACAGTGATCCAAGTAAATTTACCTTCTCAAAGCTGACTTTTTTTTCGTGCTGTGTAGAGAAGTGACTCCAGATGAGCAAGAGTGGTACCAGGGAGCCCAGTGTAAATGGGAAGAGTGGCAAAGTCAGAAACAGAGGGAGATCCTTTTGAAGGCAGAGCCCACTGGTCCCAGTAAGTTGACTGTGAGAGGTAATGGGGAGAAAGTCTAGAGGGAGTTCCCAGGATATTGGCCTGAATA